CAGCTTCTAGGAAACACAGAACTTGCTTTACTGTGCATTATCTGCAATTTGACGCATTTGATACGTAAAAAGCACAATCAAACTGACAGAAACCGCAAGTTAAACATGATCAACGCGAGTAATTTTGTGATAATTGTTATTGATAAAAAACAAAATATAATTCAGAAATGATAAACTACAAGTCGTGCCAACAATTTACTTTAAATTCAAGTTTGCAGCGCGTCGCACTAATAATAAAGTAATGTGTATATTTCTCTTGAAGATAGTTTAAATAGCGTATGTATCAAATGCGCAAGTCGATAGACATATCGAGTTATTGCCACGAGAAAGAAACATCCTGGATAAGATCATTACTTGTGTCAAATTAGATGCTAAATTATTCTAATGCGGATTTTCTGTCGCAAATTTACGTTAGAGTCGCACAAAGTGCATTTTGTTGTTTTGATTGCATAAAACACCAAGATGCAAATAATTTTGTGCGTGGAAGCGCGCGGAAACACACTGCGCTGCAAATTCGCGCCGATCGACGGCATGATGGAGGAAATACGCACACATCGCCGTTCTGCACGCGTCCATTACGTAAAGTGAGCAAGTGACCGTGTATACGGTGTCACCTTGCTCTCCGCACGACGACCCACGCACGGTACCGCTACGCAAACGCTACGCAGATACCGCATACGCAGGGGCGCGCGACCGCGTACACGAGAGTCGCACTTTCTCGGTCCTTGGACGATTTCAAAGTCGATTTTGTGTCGCACAATGCGTCTATCTGAATTTTTTTAGTTTAAAAAAATATACAATATATCTCAATTTTCATGTTACCAACGTCATGTGTATTACGATAATATTAATATAACATCAGACTGTAAGAAAAAATAAGGTAAAGATATAAAAAAAGAATTAAGGAATTTTGTTTATTTCGTTTTAAATAAAAATTCAGGAAAATAGTTGAATGTGTATAAAAGTTGAGCTATGTAATACAGTCGATCGTTGTTGACTTTCTGCATTGAGAGAGCTTACCGAAAAAGATAAATGGAGACGTTCACGAGGAACACCGAGATTGAAGCGCGAGATTCAAAAGAACCCGCCGTGCATAAAGCGCCCGGGTCGTGATCAGGTTCAAGTGAGATCCTGTTGCAGGTTCTCCCGCGGACGATGCAGATTGTCAGGCATCGGACTTACGCCTTCGTTGGCGGATAATATCTGCTCGATCGAACGAAACGCCACGGCTTAGCCGACCTACTTACGACCGACCGCTCCCTGCTCTCTCGAGTCCTTTTTTTTCTGGTTTTTCCTTTCCTTTTGGCTAACGTTGCGGTGCAACAAACGTGCCTTCGCCGTTTACGTCGTCGCGTTTATCGCGCTTATCTACATACAGGCCAGAAACAATGTGTCGAATGATGAAGTAATCGACACGTTGCCTTTTATATATGTACATTTATATTCGCGGAGCAACGCGCGGAATATTTACGGGTCGCCGTAAACGTCGTAAGACGGACGTTTTATCGCTTCTCTTGAGAAACCGCAGGTAACTGTTGATCGAAAGCCGAAGACTTGAGGATTCGTACCGCATTCTATATTCAAGGCTAAATGTAGCGCCATGATTCTCGGATTGTAATGCGGAATCAAAAACGCAATAAAATTTTTACATTTCGATTTGGGATTGACTTAAAAGTTGTATGTCACGCACTTTCGGACTATATTCGTGGTTTAACGTTAAACAAAAATTTTACTTGTCCTTGACATTGAATATATCTTGAAAGCAATGGTATCGTGATGCGATGCCGCAACAGATACGGCCGAAAAAAATGCCACGAAACACGGGCGATAGATTCGACGAGCGCGCTTAGCCACAATGCCAACGACCTCGAAGCCTTGTATCAGGAAGTATACTCCACTCGTTCCAGCACGCGCTCCTGGATTTCGCGTTGGGAATTGTGAGAATTCAGTCGTTACTTCGACTTCGACATTGATCTTCTCCGCTCGATCGCTCTTCAGGCACTTCGTTCCGCGAATAAGCGCATTCGTCTCACAATCAGCACTTTTCGCACCGGTTCGGCTTGATACATTATCTTTGCTCGTCTAAGAAAATTCAGTCCATTTCTTCGGAATTTTAACAAATATGATATATTTCTCATTGTATCTTGTAATATTGATACAGTTGATCGCATTTTATAAAAAAAATTATTTATTATACCATTTTATATATATGTATATATATATAATATAACAGTAAAAACTATCGCTTTTTACTTTCTTAAATCAGTGAAGGTATTAGTTTCAACAACTTTCTGAAGACAATAGATTTAATTAAGAAAAATAAAAACAAATGTATTGTTCACAGAATTGATTCGAATTTTTGTGAACTGTGCTTCGAGTTTTCATTTATCGAGATTTTCCTGCCTTCCCGACCTTTTATCAGTCGATCTCATCTTCTCATCTTCTGGTTGCTACACAGAACAAGCCCGTTTCTCCGATTCCAACTCGTACCGGTTCTCATTTCATTTTCTCCCTCTCTCACTTCTCTTCATCTAAAAGGGAGAGAGAAACGAAAGGAAAAATGAGAAAGAGAGACAAATGAAGAACGAACGGAGGGAATCGGCTGCCGAGTGAACAAGCAAGACGGAGGATCGGAGTAAGAGAGAACCGAAGATAGGTAAAGGCGTGCATCGGTACCCTGGTCACGGTGATCGCGCAGGTATTTATAGCGCGGCCGAACCTGTTAGGGGGATTTGGTTAGAGGAACTCACGCACGCGAGCACGCGACGCGGTTTTCTCCGTGCGGTACCAAAGGTTGCTCAACGAACGGAACCGCCATTTTGGTGCCCCGTGATCACGGCTGTAGCTGTTACCTTCGGGGTTTCGGGTCGTGACGCAAGCGATTGCGTAAAAATGTCGTTAGGCGCCCTCGTCTAACTCGGTGATTTCGAGGCCGGGATCGTCGCGGTTTCGAGCTCAGGGACGAGTCTTTCGAAAAGAGCAAAATCCTTCGTCGAGGTAGGGACAGGACGTCGTACCATGAGATTTAAATTCTTCGCCTGACCTTGATGTTACTTTGATTACTTTAACATTCCTTAGGTTCCTGACTTCATATTTTATCGATAGTTTTTTGAATTAATTTCTTATTTGTCACTCTACACATTTTTTATTATTTGTATAATATGAGATGCTTTTTCTAAATATTTATATATTTTCTCTATAATAATATATTTTTCAGAAATATTAATTATATTTATATTTGTTTTTTTATTACTATATGCTAGATTTATCAGCAAATAATTAAAGTATATATTTTTGTGGACTAGGCGATTTGTCAAAAGTTTTCTCTTCCTACAATGCATTCTTCGTAATGGCCTCAGTAAAACTTTGTGTCCTCGCAGTTAGTTTCCTGGTTGTCGCTCCAACCATGATTGCGCGATGTACAATGGCCTCGTGCTCCATTGGCGAAAAGCACTCGATGTCAAAGTCAAGAGACCAATGCACACCACATGTTCAATGACGGACCTCATTAGAATTGCAATATAAATGATAATGTTGGTACATTATGTTACGACAACAATTCATAAAAAGCAAAATTATTAATGCAAATTGACGTATTAATATAAAATAAAATAATATCAAATTATAAACGATGTATTTAGCGATATCTTTTATGTTACAATAATGAAGAATTTTGTTTACAAAAAATTATACACGAACATAAAAATTATTTCAAAATCACCGATGTAAATATCCTTAATACGTGTTTATATTTGGAAAAAATGCCAGCAGCAAGGCTGCAATCAATTACTTGCTGCATTAATTAAAAATAACTACTCCTGGGTATATTCACTTCACAACAGCCTTACACAGCACTGAAAATTACTAGAGGAGAAAAGCGGGAGATCACGTACGCGCGAAGGACGGGCGAATGTACCGGCGAAAGAGCCGTAAAGTGCGGCATACGGTACATGCGAATCTTCAAGGTTGCTCGTAAATTCAGGCACGGAGCGGGCCAACCGCCACGACTATGACTGTGCGTCCACACATTACGTATGCCAGGCTCCGTCGATTCATCGTATTGAGATTCAATTCTTGTCGTTTTTAAGCCGAGTATTGCCGCTTGCTGCGAATGTAAATTCATGCTTCGTGAACTGCAAAATCGTGCGAACCTTGAAACCGGGAAGTTCACTTGAATTCTGCGCGTTTTTACGCATGCCGTACATTAATGCGTGAACGCCTAATCAGGAATTCATAGAAATCGCTTTACGCGCGCACGACATCCCTGATTTATCATACATTGTACATCACCAAATGGGAACTGATATAGTATAGAGAGAGAGAGAGAGAGAGAGAGAGAGAGAGAGAGAGAGAGAGAGAGAGAGAGAGAGAGAGAGAGAGAGAGAGAGAGAGAGAGAGAGAGAGTCGAGTTCTTCTATATCTATATTAATTCTTCAAATGCCTTTAAGAGAGAAAGATTTTTTTATGGCCATACACTTTTGGGAAATTTTATATTAAAAATTATTATGATACAGCAGTAGGCGCAGACCATGAGAGAAATTATAAGCTTAAATACTATGGTCATTATGTAAAAAACATAGTAAAAATTTTTATGATTCATGGTCTGCGGCTACTGTCGTACGTAGTAACTTTTTATATAAAATTTTCTTCATTGTAATAAATAATGTATCGGTATTGACCAAAATACTGAAATAGATTATTAATATTCCTGACTTACTGCAAATTTATTAAATTAATGGCATTAGAAATGAAAACTTCTAACATGATTTTTATTTTTGCATTAACATGAATAAATTAACTTTTCGTCAAAATTATGAAATGTAATTTTCTTGTCAATTTTTAAATTAATATATATGTTTACATGTAAATTAATTGTCAGAAGACTTTTGTTTTATGTGAAAGAAAGATTTTTGTATAATTTTTAGAAGGTTTAGTAAGCTTGTCAAAGTAAGTACTATGAGATTTCAAAATTAATTAATGATTTTCTTAACGGTTAACAGATCGCGACAAAACCGATGATGACCGCGCGACAGAATCCCCAGAATCCTTGCGCAGCAGCAGTCCGGTTCCGTCTCCACCACCGCAGCTAGTAACAAGTCCACAACCCAGACGCTTCATCTCCAGCATTCTTGGTGGCGATGTGCCGTACGGCAGTAGGCGCCATGTGCTCACCCGAGCAGAACGAAAAGAATACAGCAGTCCGCCAATAGCTTCGGATGATCCTCCCCAGTTCCTGTCCAAGTCGGAAAAGATCGCGTTGCCGAGGCCACAGACGCCACCAAAGACGCCTCATGTGGAGCCGCCTACCAGAGTCTCGGTTATCCAGAGGGTGCCGCCGCAAGGTCAATCAGCCTCCAGGAAAGAAGGCAATAAGATCGAAGTTGAGAGAGTCGATCCAGTGCAAGCTCCCGAACCGGAACAGGTAAACTAGACGAAATTTATCAAATAAACCTTAATATTCGCTAGATGGGCACTTTTCGAAACAATTTTATTCTTAAAGTGACTATAGATATGTGTACTTACATATTTGCGAATTAATTTTTTTTAACTAATTGAAGAAATGCATATTTAGCTGAATCAGCAGCAGTTATCTATTAAAGTATATTTCGTACGATTAGTGTAATTATTTTAATAAAAATATGGTTTATGAGATATTTAAAATACATTCATGAAGGGACCATAGGATCCTGTTATTAGGCTGATGCAGTCATGCTTCATTAATCTCGACTTGCAATCCTCACAGCATCTCATGCATTATGTATAGCGATAAAGTAGATAAGGAAGGGCGAAGGAAATATTCTATAATATAATATTATACACGGTAACATTGCTTAACACTCAGTCAAACAGTTTCCTGCGGTCAACATTTTACACGGTCTGATGTTTTTAATGTCAAAATACGAAAGAACATAAATCTTATGAAAGTCAGACTATACGTAATAATGTGTATAGCTATATATCTTATGAGGAAAAAAAAATAAAAAATGCAAATACTTGTCCATTGTCGATTCAATTTTAAAAACTAAGACTAGGTTGATCTATAGGTTCATCCATGTTGAGAACAATCATAATATATATGATTGACCCAGTATATGTTGATCTATATAATATTTTATTTTTAGAAATGTTCAACTAATAAATATTAAGATATATTGATGTCAAATGTGGAAAAATAAAGAAAAAGAATTATATACGTAAAAAGTAAAAGGAACAAAGAGTAGCTGGGAAATGTTAGCAAAGAAGAGCAAAAAAAGTTATTGCGCAAGGAGATTTCAATGCTAGAATAAGAAAGAAGAAAGAAAGAGAATTTAAAGTAAAAAAAAGGAAAAAAAGGAAGGTAAAGAAATAAAAAAACAAACAAGAAAGAAAAAAACAAGAGAAGAAAAAAGGTGGAAAGAACGATTGAATGATTGTAATTTATTAACCTTTGACTGCATGTAATCCACGCTTAGCTGTATTAACACTTAATCACTAATTGTATTCATATATAGTATCTCTCATATTCTTACTGTGCCATTACTTTATTATACTCCTGTCTTGTGTAAAATTATGTTTTATTTTCATCATTTTTTATTGTTACATTTTAATAACATTTCTTATTGTCTTTTACGTTTTTATCAAATTAATTTTATTTTTATTTTTGTGGGAGGGAAGAGAAAATGAGGGAAGGAGAAAGAGAGAGAGAGAGAGAGAGAGAGAGAGAGAGAGAGAGGAGGAGAAGAAGAG